TCTGGTTCTGGGTTTTATGCCAGCTTTTTAATTCAACAGATATGAAACTTATGTGTTGAGTGTTTGTTAAAACTGCCAAATTAAATAGGAAGTCTCTTGCTCTCTAGCTTTAACACTCATAGCTTTGCCGCTTGCAGATCCTGAGTATCTATAGAACTCATTTGGATCTCCCGTGAAATTCTTAGTGATTCAGAATTGGTAAGGATTTGTAAACAAAGGTAAAGCAATATCTGATGTTTATAATCAATTATCTATTTCTTGACTAGCTGGAGGAATATACATTTTATCTTTTTGATATTTTTTGTCTTCTCTTTACCTTGGTCCTAGGAAGCATGTAAAAATTGTACCATATGTACTTTGCTGTTATGTAGTTTTCTTAAATAATTTTAGCATAGCAACTTTGATATCATAAGAGCACATTTATTTTAATAACATTTTTGATACTACCTAGGCATAAGGCACTTGAATAGTTATTTTTTGAAGCCTTTCTCCAAGTGAAATGAACTTTTCTTTTTTGGGGGGATTTCTCTCCAGAAATATGAACATATTGGCATGCTAACAGTGAAGATAGATATTTTTCATATAATTAGAAAAATCAAGTTCAAAACTTTTTCCTGAGTGTCTTCATTCTGTAACTAGATCACACTACTTTCTCAAAGCACGTTTTCTTGAAAAAAGAACTGAAGAATAAGCTAAAAGGAAAGTATGAGTGGAGAGTATCCTGTGGAGGGACCAGAAAAATGGATCTCGAAAAATATTTAAAAATTTAGCACAATAGGAGGTAGTTGGGTGTACTAAGGAGAAAAGAAAGAAATATCAAGATAGTAGCAGGGAGAGCTTATAGCAAATCATTTTTTATAGCGTATTGCCTAATAACTACTGTGGGAAAGTTGAAGTTCATTCTTATGAGAAAACATAGTAAAGGAAGTTTGAATTCCAGATGGTTGTTAAATTGTGGTTATTCATTTCCACGTTGTGGTCCTCTGAATGGTAAGAACACGTGATTAGCACTGAGTTAGTTCTAGGCTCAGGTTCTACTAGCCCCGTAACTTGAAGGAGTCATTTAAACTTCCCCAAACAGTGTTCAATTATTTCTTATAATTAAGTATTACAAAGTGTATGAACGAAAGAGTGTTAAGTCAATTAAGGCTGAAGCTAGCAACTTTTCAATCAAGAGATTACCGTAGTGTTAGTTAAATGAATTATTAGTTTCATAATGACTTCAGGGAAGAATTAGAAAGATATGGAACATGTACTAAAATTTGAGGTGAACCCACATAAGTCTGCGTAGTAGGATATGGGGAAAAACTCAGCAAGTTTTGAATAAGTTGATCCCTGACAACCTCTTATTTATAAAAGAAACTATGTAAAGAAAGCTAGATATGGTGTTAAGACATAGTGATGTAAAAATGTCAAATTGATTCTGTTTTTTTTTTTCTCCCCATAGATTAATGGATAAAATTAAAGTTATATGTGAGAAAAATAGCCTTAATGAGATTATAGGAGATTACATCTTCCTGGGGACCTTTTGTACTTTTTACCCTTTAAGACAGATGGAAAGAATTAGATGTGGATACAAAGGGCAGCAACTATGACTTCTGTGCCTTTCACAGCACTGAGTGGGGCCTAGTCAATACTTGTTGGTTCATTGATTTTCTAAAGGTCTCTTCATTTTACTTTGTCCCTGCTCCAACAACACATGTTACCAACAAACAAAATTTTGAAATAAAAATTACCCTTAGCATTCTAGATATTGCTTATTGTTTGATTTTCACCAGTCGCTGCTTTTAAGGTCTCTTCATTCTGGCATGTGACCTCTTGTGTAGGGTAGGGAGGCTGCAGGAGTACTACTCCGTGCCTTCACAAAATAGGAGTGAAATCAAAGTATTTTTACTTCTTTAGATTGATCTTCAGATTATAACTTATTATTGTTATAGATTTTGGTGTTGTGAGTTTATGTTGCTAAGACTCCATAACAATAAATTTAAAAGGTACCTCTTTAAAAAATGAAATTCTAACTTCTTCTGAAATTCTAATTATTAACTAGTTTTCAGTTTACTCTTACTGTATCCCTTCCTTTCTTATTTTTTTTAGTGATTTTCTCTTGCTATTTAGAATATTATTTGAGTATGTGACTCTCCATTTCTGCATTCAGCTATGTCTTTGGCAGCCAAGTCAGAGTTCTGGTTTCCTCAGCAGGAGAACGGGTTGTAACAACCCCAGTGTTGATAGAATATAGGAAGTGGTGAGAATGAGGAAACATTGTTCAAATGTGTATACGTGTGCACATGAGCGTGTGCACACACGTACACACATCTGCCTTTTTACCATTTTTGATTCAGACTGAAGAAACAAACTTTGATTTAAATAATGAGAAAAAGAAAACCCTCCTATATTATTATTATAGATTCCCAAGATTTAGGTCTTAGAACATTTGCCTTAAATGAGTTTTTCCCCCCTTAAATAAAAAGGGCAACCCTTTGCCCTAGGGGATCATTGTGCAGCTAAATAGTGAATTAAAGACAAGAACAAGCTCCAGGTAACCTCTCAAGTTCCATTCCAGCTCAATAATTTTGTTTATTAGGATATATTTATTTAATAATAGTCAAAATATTAATTTATTTAAATTTGGAAGAAAGAACAATATGAAAAAGACATCTAATTTTAAAAAGTGTTGTTCCAATCTCTGTTTTGAGGTTACCTTTCCTGAATTTGCTTTGTCAGGGGTTTTCATGAACTTGTAGCACTTTGTTCTTCATTACAACATAGATTTACCCTATCTTTTCAAGGTAATTGTCCCTAGTGCCAGATAGACTCATTACTCATAAAAATCTAGGTTATATTTTTCTAGAAAAATTAATTACTTTATGCTGGGTACATATGGTTAGCTTGTCAGTAGGAAAGCTTTAACATATTTTGGGGTGGTATAATGTAGGCATTTAAGTAATCTTTTTTTCCCTCTTTGTCCATGCAGTAGTATATTAATATATGTTAGAATTAATATATTTTTGTAATATAATATTAATGTTTTGCATGGGGTACTAGAGAATTCCTTCTCAAGTTTATTGCAAAGTGCCAAATATTTGACTTCATAATCATGACTAATGTCACCAACTAAAAATAGAGATGCTGTGAACCCATTAATGGCCACAACTGCATGTACTACTTGTAAGTGCTCTTGGCACATTTCGCTATTCTAAAGGATATATTAAATGTAATAGAACATTATTCATGTTACCAACTAATATGAATATCTGCCATTTGCAGTGTCTAAAGATAAAGAAAACCCAGGGTTGTGAATCCATTTCGGGGCAAACAATATATTTTAAGAGAAATCTTAATGAGAAATAATCACAGCTTAATCCTACTCTGTATGTTAGAGATACAATGTCTAGGAAGAGAGATTGGTGCTCAGTAAGAACGGATATTCTAATAGGGCTTCCCTTTGTATTTGTACAATTTTATGTTGCTTAAACTTACTCTATAAAACCCAATGTTTGTTTGTTTGTTTGTTTTTGCCTTTGTTGAGCTTACGGTCTTTTTACTCTCTAGTAGGAGAAGAAAAATTATTTTCCCAAGACCGGGGAGTTTGAAGACGTTCTTAAAGTTTACTCTCTAGTAGGAGAAGAAAAATTATTTTCCCAAGACCGGGGAGTTTGAAGACGTTCTTTGTAGAACTTTGTAGAACGAACTTCTTCTTAATTACGTTAGTTGTGCTCTTAGAATATTGATTGTATACATTTAAACATTTACATGTCAAGTGGCTGGGGAGAATGCTAGGTGTAAATTAGACATTTATATTATTTGCTAATGAAACTTTTCATTCACTGTAAGGATTTGGTCCATCTGAAGATATTCTCTCAGAGGTGTCTCTGGAGAGCTAATTCTTTATTGCTCAATTTTTCTAACATGAGTAGGCTGGGTTATATTAAGTCATTAAGGTACTGTCTGTTTTCTCATATTGAGCCAAATTGTTTTTAGCCTTTCCTTTAGGATCTCAGACTAAGAGACCTAGTTCCTATTTTCATCCTGTTGTGTTTTGTCACTATTTTTTTTTTTTCTGACCCTGCCTCAAACTGCCTTTGATATTTACAATAGTTGTTGAACTTGAAGAATTTTACTATCACTGCCCTTTCAGTGTATTTTGAGTCAGAAATCCCTAAATGCCTTTGGTCAAGGAGTTCATATCTAGCTTAAATGCAGTATGCCTCCAGTCTACAGGTGAGTGGTTATTCCGCTTACATGTGTTGCTAGAACACAGTACTAAGCTTAAAGGCAAGGACTGCCCCTTTGTTCTCTTTGACACCTTCAATCCCTCACATTCCCAATCGAGAAACTCAGAATCCCAAACAGGGTTAACTTGGCATGTGATAGACCTATGGCTTTGCACTACTTCTGTCCCCTGCTACTCCCATGTTTCCTAACTCTGATTTTGCTAATTTAGTATGTATCAGGAGTCATTCTACTTTCCTGTGTTTCTGAAGAAAGTCAATTTAATACAAATTGGGACCTATTTACTCTCCCTCTGTCTAACACATATTGTTAGTCAGCAGGGCTTCTAAGGACAGCAATTGCTACTTGAAGAAAACAAACCCTCTTTAGACCTTTCTGAATATGTTTTAAACATGACCCAGTATATTTTAGTACTGAACAAAAATCCGTAAAGTAATGAAATGAATGCTTTATAATTTGTTGCCTGTGTGTCCTGTTACCTTTTTAAGTTTTAATTTTCTAAAAAAAAAAATGTTTATGAAACTTTATCATTTAATTAAAGATTTCTTTTCACTAAGCACGTAAATTGTTGATTTTGGTTTTGAGGGATAACTGTATTCCTTACGAAAACAAGCAGAGCTTTTCTTCCTTCCTGCTATCAGTTTTAGGGGACATACTGCTTCTTCGGTACTGTCATACCAATAAATCATCCCAGATTACTTGCAGTTGTACAGTACTAAAGTATACCGTGCATTTTAAAGGAAATTTTCTGTTTTCTTTTCAATCAGATGAGCAATGTGAAGAGACTACGGCCACGGCTCAGTGCTATTCTCTTTAAGCTTCAGTTTGAAGAGCAGGTGAACAACATCAAACCTGACATCATGGCTGTCAGTACTGCCTGTGAAGAGATACAGAAGAGCAAAAGCTTTAGCAAGTTGCTGGAACTTGTATTGCTAATGGGAAACTACATGAATGCCGGCTCCCGGAATGCTCAAACCTTTGGATTTAACCTTAGCTCTCTCTGTAAAGTGAGTTTGTTTTTTTTAAACACATATTTGCCTGAACACTTACTCTTAAGTGTCAGCCCTGATGACATTATTTAAATATTTTTATTTTGATATGTTTATTATCAAGAACTTGAACTGAACCATGAACTCAAACCCAGAGTGAACTGAGCTAATTTACTCAACCTCTGAACTAAATCCAAATATTAATTTTCTCTGATCTGCAAATCCAACTGAAGGATTTTGTTTAATACCAAAATTATATCATAAACCTATGCTTTCTCAAAGCAGTAAAATGGAACATCAAAATGTTATTTAAATTTAATAGTTATTCAGTTACCTACATATCATGGTATATATATTGAGTATTGCTTAAGATTACCATTAAAATTTTTTACCTTTAACTATTTAAATATTTCTCTGCATTGTTTTTGTAACCAGACTCAAAGGAGAGAAAAACGAGTCTGCTTTTTATAAAGGGGAAATGATTATATTAATAATAAACATTCCTCAGATGTCATTGATGATTTTGAAATGTTTCTATCTAAATATAATTTTAGAGGATATGAAAATGGAGTAAGTTGAGAGATTTTTTTTTTCTCCTGGATCTTTCACAGGTTGAATTTCCTTACAGCAAATATATTCGGTGTCTCATATAACAGAGCTCTTTCCTGAGGAGTGGGCCATAGTAATAGTGCTTTATTGATCTGCTTACAACAAATTCTTCTCAGTTACTCATCACAAAAAAAGCTTTCTCTTGTTCTTGACTTTGTAACATCTAAATGCCCTGATTAAGGAATTTGATTATTGCTATTGTCAGTTATGTAGGGAAGATGAAAAACAAGTTCACCTTTAGCCTCTTGTTCTTGACTTTGTAACATCTAAATGCCCTGATTAAGGAATTTGATTATTGCTATTGCCAGTTATGTAGGGAAGATGAAAAACAAGTTCACCTTTAGCTGTGGGTTTATTGAATAGTTAATCTCTTGGTCCATTCATGAATTTTCTTCCATAATTTTCCTTCCCCAAACCTCCCATTGGTATCAATGCCTTTATGTGCTTTTGCCATGTCCCATCTCCATTCTTTTATTTTCTTCTCTTTGTTTTCTTAGGCTGCCACAGTTTAGATCCCTAGCATGAGGGATACAGTTCCTAAAACATGTCTTGAAAACTTTGCACATTCATTGGGTGATTCTCAGGGTGAAATCGTGTGCCAGATGCTTTACCCAATCATCTCTTTGATGTTTGTGATTAATATTTAACTGGTGGGCATGGAACCAATATTTTTCACATATAAACCATTAATAATGATTAAGTGCTTTAATGGGGCTGTATATAAAAAGTTATGGCTGCAGAGAGAGTTAAAACAGAGAGGCTAGCTCAGCTATGAGAGAGCAGTTAAGTATTCAGAGAGGAACAGGAATTTGAGCTGGGTCTTGAAAGATTAGTAGATAGTCTATGAAAGAAAAAGGCATTCTAAGTCAGAGTCACAGTTTGCATGAAGGATGGATGATAGAATGGCATGTGCCAGTACACTGAGTGGTCCAGTACCTTTGGAGACTAGATGGGAGAGGGTGGGCGACATTGGACTACAATGATAAATTGGTCTAGATGTGACAGGCCTTGAGTGTCATGCCTAGTGTTGGAGATTTTATGGAGACATGTTAGTTCTGTAAGGCAAGTAATGTGATCATATGTTTTGTAGGAAGATAATTCTATGGAATGAGGTTCCACTGTTTAGCACTATTGCCATTAAGCATATGTAGCTATTTAAGTTTAAATTAATTAGAATTTAAATAAAATTAAAATGTTAGTTCCTCAGTCACACTTACCACTCTTCAAGTGCTCAGTGTCCGTACATGTTGGCAGCATAGATATAGCAGATTTCCATCATTGCAGAAAGTTCTATTGGGCAGTGCTGGGTTAGAGGGTTATAGTCGGGAGACATTCAGTGATTGGCTGACATGTAGTGTATGACCTAGGGGAGTGACAGAGGAAATTAAACTGTGAAGATACATAAGGCAGATAGTGTGAGAGGTGGAGAAGAGGGGAGGTGGAAGAAAAATCCCAGGTTTCTAGCTTTCCAAAGGATGGGAGCTATTGCTACTGACAAGATTGAAGTGATTGCTCAAAAGGGAATGAGTTTAGGGATTTTCTTGTTGTTTCCCTCTTCTCATTTACCTCAGTATCTTGAAGATCATTTGATTGAAGCTGCCTTGTTTGGTTATTTAGCAAATATTTGAGTGTCTGCTATGTAACTGTCACTGTTCCTTGGAATGATGTAGTTCTAAGCTAAGGTAGTGACAGAGGGGTTTGAGGTAGAATAGTAGAGAGGATGGAAGGAAGTGTACAGATTCAAGAACACCCGTGGGAATTGTCAGGTCATGGTGGTTATGAATTTGGAAGCTCAAGAAGAAGGAGGCAAGCAAGACTGCCAGGTTCAGGTTTTCCCTGAGAAGGGAAGCAAAAGAAGGAAAACAGAGGATGAGGAGCAAGGTGGGGGAGAAATTAAATCCACACTTGCAAATTTACTGGGGTAAATTTCCTATTGTAAAGTGCCTGTTCCTCTTTAGGTTTTGCATCCCAGAAGTATAGTCGACTTACAGAAGGTTGGCTTCATGCCTTCTCTGAGGAGAGCTGTTGACAGATGAGGTCTGATTAATGAGGTAGAAGAGCCTAATACAGTGATTGGTATATATTAAATACTCAATAAATAGCTGCTGAATGAATGAAACTTGTTGCAATAGACATAACGTAGTGTTTCATGTTTATTTCGTAGTTGAAAATAGACATCCTTCTATTGAGATACAATCACTGATGCATAGTAATTTTAAAATCTTTTACGAATGCAATGCATGCTGTTTTATTTTACTACAGTTAGTCTGCAAACCAGTTAATCTGTCTCCAGGTAAAGAGTTGACTGCATTTTCATGCAATGATACAGGGTATTTTGATCATCCATCCTAGGAGCCTTCTGTTGTCCAAAAAACAAAATAAATACTACAACTTCATATTTTTTATTAGCCTACATGTCAAGTTGAAAGCATATATTGAACAAGATGATGTCTCATCATGTTTGTTATCAGAAGTAGTAGCTTGATCTTTGACAATTGTGATTGAATTTTCACACTGAGTATAAAGCATTTGGTTTGATCATAAGCCCCCGCACAAGAACTTCATATTTATTTGACAGTAGAAAGACAAGGAAATATTTTAAGCTGTTAAAACATGCTGGGTAATTATATGACATTTAACATTCTGTATCAAAAATCCTTACTTTTAAATGTCCTTTATAAATTTAGTTCAAGTATGAAAAATGAGTTAAAATTCATATTAAATTATTAATTTTGCAATGTTTAGAAATAAGTACATGAATCTTGAATACCACACACATTTTAGTTTAATTTTAGGAGCTGTATTATATCTTTGTATATATTTGTAATCAGTATGTCCAACTATAATATCTCTGAGTTCAGAGAGAAAAGGTTTGTTTGCTTTCATATATCCCAGACATTTGATGTTGCATATGACAAGTAAATAAAAAAGTAAAATATGAGATATAAGCTAAACACAAACTAGAATCTGTTAAGATTTAAATAAAAATGAAAGTTGATTCATATGTGAGGGGCTTTATGGTGGTTGAAATGAAGTATAAACATTTTTGTGGAACTTGAGCTAAAGATAATATTTTCTCTGATTAGCTTAAGTTGAACTTCACAAGAACCTTTGCATGTATATCTTTATAAAAGGAAAATGTGGTGTTACGTAGTTCTTATAAAAAAAGGAAAGAATCACTTTCATAAGGATCTTTCTTTTAGAACTCCCCCTCCTGCCTCTGTGTATTCAGGGCCTCTTAAGGGCCTGGCACTTCCTGAGACCCTCAAGGTAAGATACAAATTTACTCATTAGTCACAGTAATGCTAATCCTAGTTTAGGTAAAATGGTGTAAGTACATTGCTTTCAGATGGCTTGGCATTTAAAAGGATAAACCCTAGGATTATATGGAAAAATGGAGGACTGCTTGTCATTCATAAAATCCTCCAAAGATATTACTAGGCTTTAGATAAAAATTGGATAATAAAATTTTGAGATTATATTCTTATTGAGGGGACTTGCCATTGATAGAAATTCATATCCTTAGAAATCCAAGCAGCAGATGGTAGGTTCTGACCAAAATGTTTACCTGGAAAAATTTGAACATGGTTAGTGTTAAGAGTATTTCTCCAAGAGAACCTATTGGTAGGTCCATGATATTTTTTTTTCAAGTAGATCAGAATTCTAGCTAAAGAAAGAATTGACACAACCTTCAAAGTTCATCACCATATTAAAATATATGAGGTAATCTCGATTTGTGAATTTGAGAAGCAGTTGTTACCAATCCACATACAATGGCTATAACGTGTTTAGTAATGTTTGCTAATGTCTAATGAGATGTGTGATTTCTGAATAAGTCATCCTGATCAATACAACAGGATGATGTAGCTTTTTGTTCTAGGTAATTAAATAAACTGACTTTCCATATTGGGATAATAGATACAAATTTTGGAGGAGTTTACCAACTTTAATAACTAATTTTATCACTATTTATTCTAAATTATTATTTAGGAAAATTGCAAAAACAACTATTGATTCCATTTTAAATTAATCTTTATTAATCACTTTGTAGGAAGCTTTCTATTCTCTATGGCAGTAGATCATTTAATGAGTACATCTCAATGTTGAGGTCATCAAAGGACACGTAGTAATGGAGCTGTAGGGGTTGGGAGTAAGGTGTGAAGAGGGATGGGGGTGGCAGACAAGAATGATTTTTGTCTAAGTTCTCTCTTATAGTGCCTGAATTTTTTTTTTATCTGATCTGCATATTCCTTTTTAAAAACAGGCTGACCAGAAAAAAGTAGAATAATTTCACCAAAGCTGTGATGTGGATGATTTTTTAAAAAACAAAAAGCATCGAATTTCCGTTTTCTTTAATGTCTTCACTATCCCTAGTGAGTGACTTTTTGAAATTGTGAATGGTGCTTCCT